CAATTACACCCTTGAAGCACTCAGTTTCTGCAACAAATCACAAACATACTATAAGCACACATAGTAGGAAACAAACTGCACAAATTTCTTTCTATTTGTATAGACCTTCTCTTAGTCACAAAAATAGTGTTTCACAGTTCACACTGTACAACACATAACACACGAAATAAATATACAACCTCTGTTTTTACTCACCGCAATAATTCACCACATTTAACCAGAGAAGACACAAACAAATAGCACTGTACCTCCCACATTAATGAATTAAATAATTACATAAATGAATAGCTACCTTGCACCAATGATCCCCGCTTGACTACTAGGCTTCCCGTTTGAGACCAAGGAGGCTGAGAACGAGGGAAATAGCTAGAGATGTTCCAATACCCTTTTTTCCTTCCCGATACCGATTCTGATACCTGGACTCAGGGTATCGGCCGATACCGAGTACTGATCCGATACCTGGGTCTGTACAGTATCTCTACAGCTGCAATTCATACTAGCACTGTATGAATTGATAGAATTATTTTATGGTGTGCTTCAGACTTATCCCTTAATTAAACATGAACTAATACATAGAGTGAACTAGAGTATTTTTATTATCTGACATACATTTCACAGCAATATATTATTTATCTTTCTTAAGTGAAAAAGAACTTAAAATGCAGCCACACATCTAATACTGTAAACTGAAAAAAAAGGTATTTTAGATTTACAATATATAACTGTATAAAAAAAGTGCAACAAATAAATCTAGGAATCTAAAAAAATGATATATGAATAATATAAGAAAATTATCTCTTTATAATTTAAGGTCCATAAACAGTTTTGTTAAATAAATGGCATTTCAGTTTTGACATCAGCTGGTCATCCAGAATAATAAACTTAATAACTTACATGTTGTCGGTTATATTTATCGCTCGTTGGCTGTCTTTTGAAAACATTTCTCTTCGTTTGAATGAAGCTTTCAGAGATTGTTGATTGTGGCGCGGCTCATCCTTCTCTGCCCTTGCCTTTGTGTAATCGTGTTCTGCGGGGTTACTCGGTGTTACTTGAAGTTGCTAATACTTGTTCCACCCTATTTTTTACAGTCTATGGTTCCACCCCTCGAAATTGCAGTATGGCATATGACACATGTCGCCGTTTTACTGGCTGGTTGTCCAGTCTGAAAAACTGCCAAACTGCGGACATACTGCAGGGCGCGCGCGCGTGTTTTCTTCTTTGCTGCTCTAAACAGTGGTTTCTCTAAACTTGCTCTAAACTTGTGGCGACACTTCCTGTGTTGCCACAAGCAACCACTGTTTAGAGCAGCGAAGAAGAATTGAGCTCCGATTTGCAGCGTTACGCAAAGCTAGCGTGCATAACTAGTTATTGTTTAAGAAAATGGTATCGGATCGGTACGCGGATAGAAGTACTCGCCGATACCGATGCCAGAATTTTTATTGGTATCGGCGGCATTTCCGATACTAGTATCGGAATCGGAACAACTCTAGAAATAGCTCTGTTAAAGTACGTCCTCGGTTACCAAGCCTCCGACATTACACGCCACAGTCAATCAACGGATGCTTCCCGTTCCTGTTTACAGCTATAAACCGCAATACGTCGCCAGTATGAATGAAAAGCTCTCGTTGCTCCAGCTCACAGCTGAGGACAAGGAGAGAGATGTAAACGTGTGACTTAATTACATCAGTTCAAAGCATCATACTTGGCATATTAAATGCCGCCAATAATAGGCGCTTACCGTCCCTGCTTTCAGTTGAGAACGACCGGTAATTCCCCGGCGATGCGCCGACCAGGCCAACCGCAACGCTCTCGCCCAACTCCTAACCAGCTTTGCTGGACACGGAGAACAAAAACTCAGATTCCTCTATAACCAGCTCGCACTTGACGCCCGCTGACCGGGCCAACCAAACAAACCCTTCATCAACCCTGTGCGCTGTTTTTATCTACTTCCTAGTTCCAATCACACCCTATAGCACCTGCATGGAAAACTACGCAAAGTAGGTTAGCCTGCAACAAACTCCCTCTGTAGGAAGGGAGTAGGTATAGATAGGGATGGCTGACACGAAACAGTTGTTCCGAAGCTTTGCGAGATCCCGAAGCGCAGATGTTTCGAAACACTGATCCGAAGCGTGATTCAAAACACCCATGTCACGTGACTATGAATGAATGAAACCTTTATTGCCCCAAGGGGAATTTGTTTTACACTCATGGGAACCACAATAAACATAAGCACAAAAAACATAGAATAATAAAAAATAAAAAAAGCAACAACAACAACAATAACACAGCAAATAGTGACATAAAATTATCAATTCGACAACTTAAGGAATCAATAGATACATATACTGTATATTCAATAATACGCATCTAAAATGTTCAACGGCTTAAAGGAATCAATAAATAGATATATTCAATAATGCACATTTAAAATAAATCTATGTGTTCTAAGTAGGTCTTAGGGAAACTGATAAGAGTTCTAAGTTTGGGGAATTGATGGTGTGTCTAATGATATGGTGTCTACACCACTTGTTGTTGACATACATAAATAGTCCTCCACCAATCGATTTCCCCGTGGCTTGTTTTTCTCTATCAAGTCTCAACGGTGTACCAAAGCCAGGTAGGGAAAGACTGTCATCATTCACTGTATTGTTTAACCAAGTTTCACTGAAACATAACAGACAACTATCTCTATATTCATACCGGTATTGCGTAGAGGCATGGAGTTCATCCAATTTGTTCCTTAGTGATCTCACATTAGAGAGGACTATAGTTGGAAGTGGGGGTTTAAATCCTCTTGCACGAACGCAGCGTTTAATTCCTCCTCTCGAACCACGCTTTCTCTTTGTCCTGTCAAATCGCTGTTCAGTTGGACGTAGGCATTCCAAAGGAAAGTCTGTTGGAGGTGTCCACTGCAGCTGCGTTGCTAAGCCCAGCTGAAGTAGTTGATGTCTGCCATAAGTTATCCTAAATGGCTCAGCGTTTGCCAGGAGTAGAGAGAGTAGAGTGATCACCAGGAAGAGTTCCAAGTAAGCCATGCTGCTGTCGATTGTTTACATCCAATTGCCGGCGTTTATATTCGAAGCAATCCAATCAAATCAAAAAACCCGAATTAACATAGAAGGTCCGCAATTTTAACAGACAAAACAAAAGAAAACGTACTAACAAACATTAACCAAACAGTCAGAGCTCCCGTGTGCGTGTCAGCCGCCGAGCAGCGCCACTCAAGTATGATGTCTGTGATGTCTTGACTATGGCCAAACGAAGCCTCGAAATGTTTTACTAAGTGTTTCATCAGGTGTGATCCGAATCAGCGTTTGATTGACACGGTCGGGAACAACAGACCACACAATCGCACATCTGTATAAAAGTGAAATCAACGCATATTGACCTCGTGGGTTTTTGTGAGAGGAGTTTGATTTTGAGATAGCGGATTTTGGTGATGTAGTGACATAGTGCGATTTGTTTAGTTATAGGCTATTTGGGCTTAGGCCTACGTTTAAATTTACACAACACATTGACTGATAGGCTAGAGACAGACAGAGTATACATATAGTGCCACATTAATAAATACATATATATATATATATATATATATATATATATATATAGACAGATAGATTAATAGATAAATTTGCCCACAGAACTCATCATGATCCACTAACTTACTGGAAAGAGAGAGCTGTAATCTTTCCTCATTTGTATGTCCTAGCTAAAAAATATATTTGCATGCCAGCAGCAACAAATGTCCCTTGTGATGGGGATTTTTTCAAAGGCTGGAGAAATTATCTGTAAAAAAGAAGTAGGCTAAGTCTTTCCACAGCAGAGAAATTCATATTTTTTAAGAAAAATCTCTAAAAAAAAGTGAGACATTGTGGCTTGATTTCTTTTATTAATATTAATTTTGCAGGACCAAAATAACATTATGCACAGTGAGGAGCCTATAGGTAACAAGCTTCACATATTAGAAAAATACAATAATAAAAAAAAAAAACATTTTTTAATGGCTCGTCAAGGTTGTTTCAGATCAACACCTGCAAGTGACCACTAGGTGTCACAGTGGAGACGGGTGTCGGATTGATTCGAAGCCTCGAAACAATATGGCCCATTTGGTTCAACTGTTTCATTGCTTCACGAAGCCTCGATCTGCCCATCACTAGGTATAGATAGCCTACTTAATCTGGTTACACAGACATCAGACGAGGTGACATAATATAACAACTCCGTAACAAACACTGACACAGACAGGGAATATATACACACAGATCTAACAATGTGATGGGAAACAGCTGAGTGCAATGAACTGATGAGTGACAGACAGAATGCTGGGAAATGAAGTCAAATGTGGAAGACACCGTGAGAACGAGGACCTCTAGTGACAACCCAGGGAAACACAACCAGACACTGTGACAATTTGTGGTGAGTCTTAGGCCTTGTCCACACGGACACGGGTATTTTTATAACCTGAGTTTTTCCTACAGCGTTTAAAAAAAATTCCCGTCCACACATGCTCGGTCTCCGTCTACATGAAAACGCAAAAACACGCTATCAAGCGCGGTCAAGAGCATGCCACGGCAGCAGGCGGCGATATAAACCTTAACCGTAAAGCCACGTTGGCCAATCAGAAGCGCAAATCTGACGTCAAACACAGTGGATAACGGCGCAAACTCTGACGTCGCGAGGCAAAAACCCCGGTTTCACTGTCTACACGACAACACTGTAACCAGCGTTTCTGAAAAACCTCACCCTGGCAGGGGTTTTCAAAAATGTTCGGTTTCGGTGCGTTTTCGTGTGGACAAACGGCCGAACCGCGTAAAAAAAGTCACGGTTATAAAAATACCCGGTGTCCGTGTGGACAGGGCCTTAGTTTCTCATGCTTTCGTTTATTGATTTATTATTATACTCTAATTATATGCATTTGGATGAACAACCTCTGTATTACAGGACCCCCCCCCCCAATATTATTGAAAACCAAAGCAATTTAATCATAAGATAAATGAGAATCATTTGAAATTAAAAGGTTTTATTAAAACAGAAAATAACAAATGTGTTATTTAAAGCAGTAAGCCTGAATCATTATATAGGCTTATACTCTGTTTATACTGTAAAGACTAAACTTTACTGAGTAATAGCAGCTGGTGCTTCGGGATTGAAGGGATCAGGATTTATTTTGTTCAGTTCCTCTATGACAGTTTCATACTCATTTTTCCATTGCTCTGGTGTCAGTGCAGATGGGCTGGTCTCCAGGAACTTATACGCATCTTTAGTCTGCAAGCTAAAGATGCTTTTTGCATGTAGACAGGATTCACCGAAGGCCTTCCAATGCTGGAAGATTTGAGGTACAAAATCAATCACAGGAAAAAGAATGCAATCAAGTTGAAATAATATAATTTCTGCAACTGAATATTTTCTCAATGTCTAAGTTACCCCTTGTGCTGAAGTAATAGATTCCAGAAAGATCTCCTTCATTTCACTCTCCTCGATGAAGTGTTCATTAGCAAAAGTCTCGTCTTTGAGAGCCTCCAGCTGTACACTCACTGATTCCCAGCACTTCTGAAGCTGAATCAGAATGTTTTGGATTCGGGAAAGGCATTTTTGGACGTCATTCAGGTGGACTGGGTCGGGTATTGAACCTTTGGAAATAAGATGAAGCAGACATTAATTATGAGGGATCACTCTGAGGCTTCTGGTGTAAATCAGGGACTGTGTTGAGCACGATTGATCTTTTAAGTGAAATAATCTTGTCCATCTTCAGAGGAATCCTGTAAAAGAATCTTCACTAGAAAGAAAAGTGCAGAATGCCACTCCAAATGCAAATTATTGGACGGGACCAGTTTCTTGGAGCAGAAATCAAAGAAAGAAAGGAGCGAATAGTGGAAATCTCAAAAGTCACAAAATTATGGAAGTTTTCCAGTTCAATTTATTCTTCCATAATTTTGTGACTTCTAAAGTCTGAAGAAACTGGTATTGTCCAATAATTTGCATTTGGAGTGGCATTCTGCCCTTGTCTTGTAGTGAAGATTCTTCTAAAGGCACATTTCCCCTTCTTTTATGTGATTGCAGAAATCTCACTAGATTATTGGTCCAGATAGTCTTGTTCTGGGACGAAGATTCACTTATCTTGTGTAACATTATATGTTGCTACTGAAACAAATATCATGTATCAAGTTGATTTGTTTGCTCATGAAGCTCTCTAATAAGTTCATTAAACATTTACAGGCACATTATCTCATATGTTTATGTGCATATATATTAACTAATGATCTGTAAAACATTATGCAATGATTGTTAATGATTTATTATTGAAAGTTATTATAAAGTGTTACCAAGAATCTTACCATTTTCTATTTTCATGCTTGCCAACTTCAGCTGCATATCCGTCATCCTGACTTGGATGTTCCACTCTTTTCCCATCAGACTTGACTTCTCAATGGAGAGTTGAGTCAATTCGCTGGACAGAACCTGGGTTTTTGCAGCTGCTTCAGGTTCAGTTTTAGCATTATAAATTGATTTAACAATGGGTCCAACAAATGGTACAAGGGCAGAGAAGATGCCCAGACCACTACTTTTGCTAGAAGACTCTTTGACATGATTATACAGCTCTTGGTTTTTCTCTGAAATCTTTGTCTCAATTTGTGCAATTTTCTCACTGTTGTTCTTCAGTTGATCTTCGAGATCTCTCACCGCCTTCTCCTGAGCCTCTATCTCCTTAGTAGTTTGTGCTTTTTTTCTCTCTGTCTCAGCCTTTTCAAGAATGACATCACTGGTGCAGGAAGCCACACTGTGGTTGTGTTTCTCATATCTGGCGATAACAGATTTCAGATTAATCGTGAGCTAAAGCACAGTAAATATTCTTGATATACACTGATTTACACTTGATATACATAGGACTTTTGGCAGTGGCCAGATATGGAAAATGTAACAAATCTTACTAAACTTTCTTATGCTAAAACATTTTACCTGTCTACCATCAGTCCCACTTTGTCAATAATTTCAGTGATCCATGCTCTGGCTTTTTCCAGGGACTTAATAGCCAAAATGCTTTTATCCTTTTCAACGGCAACCTTCAGCGCAGGCAGAAGTGTGGAAACTAGGTTTTTACTTGTGGCCACACACTGAAAGACAGCAGAAATGCTTACAATGTGTATCCACGTTTCATACTTTACATAGGAAACAACTTATCAAAATCAATCGATCAATGAAATATAGTGTCTTGTGACCAGTTCAAAGATTGGGCTGCAATTTTAGTGAAATAAGTGCAGTCAAGATGGACAGCTCTCAGAAAGTTCAGTTAATTTCGGTAGTTCGAAACAGCTCAACAAAGCCAACATTACAGAAAAGTTTGTGCCGGCTAGTAAACTCCTTCGAACTGCCATTAGTCCATGATGATTACGTAATAGGTGGTTTGCTCTAGGGTTCGCTTTCTCATTCATTCCTTCCCCTTAATCAGAGTGAAGTGATCTGTATGGTATACAATTTTCAAATAAATTTGAGTAGAGTGCTGAATTGCCAACGCTATCTCACAACCAATTCGTACGAATTCGTATGAGTGAGTACGAGGTGGCTAATTCGTACAAATTCGTACGACCTCATTCATACAAATTCGTGCAATTTGTCGAAACCCCAGTGATGGGTAGGTTTAGGGGCGGGGTCATGGGTAGGTCATTCGTATGAATTCGTACAAATTAGCCACCACGTAAAATACGTACGAATTGCCGTGAGATCGGGTTGGGATTTCTGTGATCAGAAGCTGTGAGCCTCCTTAATCATTTTTTATTATGTGATTGTTGTGTAATTGAGAGATAGGATGCAACACATATTTAAATATTTATCTAAACACTGCAGATTTTTTGGCAATATTTCAAATTATTTAATGACTGCCATCTCTCTCATTGAAGAGAATGGTGGACTCATTAGAAATGTTAACCATGACGTTAAACAGGTCTTGCGCAATATGTATAACAATGCACTCATCTCTTGGACTAAAGATAACGGTTCTTAATTGGCTTCTATGGTTCCCTGAACAATTAAAATCCATAAAAAAATGTCTTCGCACAAAAGGTTCTAGTGGTAACAGGTTCTTTGGATTTGTATACTATTCTTCACATGGCTCTTTTAAGAACTGTTCACTGGAAGTTTCTTTGGTTAACCAAAAAGGGTTATTCTATGGCATTTCTGTGAAAACACACTTTTGGATTTTTTAAGAGTGTCAATGGATGTGGTGTGCAATAAAAGAAATTGATAAAGAACATTGGCTTTACCTTCATCAGAAGAGCCTCAGAGGACCCAAAGAGAAGCTGAGTTTCAACAGCACGCTCTCGGAGAACCCTCTCCAACTTGGGGAACTTGGCCAAACAGAGATAGGAGAGATGGTAGAGCAGAGCGGTACGCTGAGCAGATGGAAGAAGCTCTGTGACAAATCCAGGGCTACTTGCGATCACAATTTCTGTAGAATTACAAATGTGATAGATACAACATGATGGTTTTGCTCAGACGTGTGTCAATTATTAACAACATTAAAAATGTGAGAGGTTTACATTTTATCAGTGAAAAACAATTCCCAGATTTTTACCCACCTTGGCTGTCTGACATTTTTTGTCTGTAAAGAAAGTACCTGGAAAACACTGAAAAACAACAACACTATATGAGACATCACTATCATGATATAAGAATCAACAGTAAATGAGAGAGGTCAGTAAAAGTTACCTGTAAGATGAATGAACCTCTAAGCAATGTAGTTGACTGTGTCAGCATGGGGAATTTATACTCTATGGCACCTCCTTAAAATTGTTTGTCCACTTGGGGGTTTGCCTTGTGGGATCTCTGGGGTTGGGCAGGATGAGACTTGTATTTTCAACATCCCTTTTATCGGCAACTCTTATCATTCATATCAACTTTCTAAAATGTTTAAAATTTAAAATTCTTATTTCAAGCAGTGCATTTGTCTTTCCTTAAAGGGAGATTCATTGCGCTCTACCTTTACTTTCAAAGAAAAAATTTACTCTACATTACATGTAACTCAGTCTGTGTAGGGTACCATCTCAGATGGCTCAAATCAATCAAACCGTTTTATTCCATTTTAAGGGATGCATTATTTGGTTTTCACATATGAGAACAGCATGTTTATGTGAAATACATTTAAAACATCTATCCTATTCACATGACCCACAGTTTTAACAACAGTTGCTCTTCACAAGCTGCCATTGCCGGACTTCGACCAAAGAAAGGTTGGTGCATTTGTGGAATTCTTAGGTTTGCAGGTCCAGACTGGCTGCCAGGAATTATCCCAGAGCTCCCGGTGGCCAGTCTGGACCTGCTTGCAGGTTGGCCAGTTTCTGTAAGCACACAGTGTTTTAGGGAAAAGCATTGTTTTTGCTTGCATATTTCTATATTTAACACATATGATCAATTTTTATTCTAAAATTTTTAATTCTAAAATTAAAACAAATGATTTATTGTATTATATAGGCTAATTATAACTTCCTAATTTATTTTGCATCCTCTGTTGAAAGTAGAACATTTTAAATGTTTTAGCTGTGATTGTGTTATTGATCAATGTCATCTAATGTTTTGAATAACAAAGAAAAAAATCAGACTGATAAAACATTTCAAAGGATCAAAGTATGTGTCTCCTGTTTCAAAGGATCTGTAAACAAATCAGTTAAAATCAGTTAAAAAGAGCTTTTTTACATCGCAAAACAAACATTTAGGAATGTGAAAACATCATCAAAAAAGCCAAATAAAAGCATCTGTTTGTATTTCTGCAAAAGTTTTAACAGCATTTGCTCTTCATGAGCTGCCATTGTACTCTTGATTTTGCCCAAAGTTTGTGCATTTGTGAAATTCTTAGGTTTGCAAGCCCGGACTGGCCATCGGGAGCCCTGGGATAATTCCCAGTGGCTTGGCGAATTGGCCAATTGTCTGTAAGCAAGCAGTGTCTTTGCTTGCATATTTCTATATTTAACATATATGTTTTGTTTTTGGTAAAATACAGGTAAAACATGTTTTTTTTGTTTTTTTTTAAATGTTTTATTCTAAAAATTTAATTTAATTATAACTTCCTAATTTTTTTGCACCCTCTGTTAAAAGTATAATTTTTTTTATTGTTTTAGATACGATTATGTTATTGATCAATGTCATCTGAAGTTTTGAATAACAAAGAAAAAATTCAGACAGGTCAAATGTTTCAACGATTCAAACGATTTGTCTTCTGTTTCAAAGTATTTGTACACAAGTTAAACAGAGCTGGTGTACATTGCAAAAAAACAAACACTTTACACATAGCCCACGTACTACATCTATTACTCAATGCTTGCAGAGCACCTTGCCTTCTTTCCTTTACTGAAAGCAGATGAGGATAGACAGATAAAAAAATGAGAAGCACCCTCCTGATAATGCTGCCATTGGTTAAACATTGAGTTGTAGTTGAGAGCATATTCTCAACTACACATCTTTGAGGAGCAATCACCTGATCTGGGACTTGATGCTATCCTGTGCCTTATCTCCTGCTCCCTGATTACTGCTTTTTCTGGTAATCATTCATATTCCTGAATCAGAGTTAAATGGGATGAATGTAACTGATCTCCATTCAGTTTAGCATGTTCCCACTGAAACACAATCATAAAAAAAACTACACTTTGAGTTTATGGGAAAGTGATCCTTTGATCCTAATACCTTTGGTTAGCTGGTTCAGATGTGTTCGATTAGCCTAATCGAGAGAGAGAGAGCCTAACAACACTCTACCCTAAGGACTGCAGCCAGGGACACTCACAACAAGCCCAGTGCTACTGTCTGTAAGGAAAAGCTCAAGACAGTGGAGGCCCCAAAGGGATAACTCTTTAGAATGAGAGGAGGCATATCTACACCATTTTACAAAAAGACAGCCCCACCAAGTAGGCTCACTGTGAGCCGTACCACTTGGCAACATCATGTAAGCAGAGTTCTAGGGAGTGAAAGCCTCTGTAGAACGCCTCTCTAAAACGAGAGGAAATCTAATTCCTTTTACAAGGTCTAAATCACCCTTTATACTGAAGACATATTTATCGAGGAGGCTCACAGAGAGCCTTGCGACACGACATCGCTAAGCTACGGGGCTCAAAGGAATGCGGGACGACTCTCAATACTGCCATGACTGCAACACAATGCATGCATTCAACTCGCTCGAGAGCCGGACGTGTTCCATTCAACACTAGATTCTTATTGCTCTATCGAGAAACAAACAAGAACAGAGTATGTTGCAATGAATGCATCATTATGAGTGCCTTCAACTCCTCAAGAGCTGAACGCGCTTAAGCAAACGCTGACTTCTAACCATCAGGAGAGATCAAAGATGCACAAAGCTTCTTCCCAGTCTTTTTCAGTAGTCTCTCAAATGCATAAAATGAGCATATCCAGCTTGCTTGAGGAGTCAAACACACTCCACACGCACAAACAAACAAACGGCACCTGAAGACGAAGAAGAGAATGATGTGTTCTTCAGGTGCCCTTTTGCACTTATGGTTCCATGAAAAATCTATAACGTTCATGGAACTTTTTGATTGCACAAAAGTTTCTTTAAAGTGGAAACTGGTTCTTTAGATTTTGGTCTGGATGTGTAGAACATGAATCTGAATGTTAACATTGAAAATTTTGGGTTGCACTACCTGTTTTAGGCCTGTGAATAGGGAAACCCTAAAAAACAATTTTAAGCGATTTTAACACGTCGAAATTGGCCTAGTCAATCAGAACTGCTTTTAGGTGACCCATTACACACTCAGGGCCCTATTTTAACGATCTGAAACGCAAGTGTCAAAGCGCAAAGCGCAAGTAACTTTGTGGGCGGATCCCGGCGCTGTTGCTATTTTCCCGGCGGGATAAATGCCTCTTGCGCCTGGCGCAAATCTAAAAGAGGTTGGTCTGAAGTAGCTTCATTATTCATAGGTGTGGTTTGGGCATAACGTGGAATAAACCAATCAGAGCGTCATCTCACATTCCCTTTAAGAGCAGGTGCGCATGTTGCATGGCGGATTGCTATTATAACGGCGGATTTACCAGGCGCGCGTCAGGAGCGGTTCACAGCCGAGGAGACCGACGTTCTTGTCAGGACCGTGAAAGACAGAGAAGTGACGTTGTATTGCGTGTTTTGCGTGCACCTGTAAACTATGGCATAAACCCTCATGCAGTAACACCCTCAGACGGCACTGTTTATTGACTGTCTGAAGTAGAATGCATGCAGAAATAACAAGAAATTCAACGTTCAAATCAGACTTATCTATCTATTTATCTATCTATCTATCTATCTATCTATCTATCTATCTATCTATCTACTTATCTATCTATCTATCTATCTATCTATCTATCTATCTATCTATCTATCTATCTATCTATCTATCTATCTATCGTGGGTGGGTTTCTCCCATCCCCATACAAATCAGCGTCGGTTAAACAGGCGTGGGAGGAAAAAAACTAAATTTTCATGGACACCACAATGATTTCCCTCATGTGTTAATATTTTTCCTTGTTATAATGTATGATTTACAAAAATAAAAACTGCTGCATCTGTGTTGATGAGAGAATCAAAGTGTATGCGCGTTGTGCACCCGCTACATTATGGCCAAGCATGCGCGCTTAAAATAGCATAATGAACAACGCGCAACGCGCCACTGACTTTAGACTAGTTTTTTTCTGGTCAGTGGCGCAATTGTTTTATAGAACAGCAAAATAGCATGAGGGAAAGTTTGCGCCGGAACACGCCTCCTCTTTGCGCTGAACCGCCCCGGGGAGCGCAAGTGTATTTCTTAGTTAACCGACGTGTGTCTGTGGAGGGAAAAGTCCGCTTTGCGCGGGTGCAAAATAGGAATGATACATGCGTCAGTGTACAAAGTCATTTGCGCCGAGTGCAAGATAGAGCCCTCAAACTTAACATATGATGACTTAGGTCAAAGGGCACCCTATACTGCTTCCTGGTAAGTGACTAAAATTAATATAGTTAAGGCCTTATGTTGATTTAATGAGCCCATTTCCTATATACAGCATGCACACACACACGAAGGGCCAATCCCAAAGTGAGCCCTGAGGACTAAGGACTAAAGACTCACAGACTTAATTGATCTCAGGTGCTAAGTGAGTGAGTGTGTGAGACCACATGGGCTCAGATAGGTATAGATGGGATTGGAACAGCACTTCACAATGTTTAATAACAAAGAAGTTGCTGACACGTGCACCATCTACGTGTGTCGTGCTGTTGTTTACCTTTGTAATTTCCGGATTTCCCATGCACGCAGACACAATAACTATATACAAAAACTACAAACAGCATGGAAAATATCTATATACAGCATGCAAGCATGCACCCAGACACACAAACGCACAATAACTATATACTAGAACTACATACAGCATGGAAAATAACTATATACAGCATGCACACACACACAAATTCACAAGAACTATATACAGCATGCACACAGACACACACAATAACTATATACAAGAACGACATACAGCATTAAAAAGAACTATATACAGCATGCACACAGACACACACAATAACTATATACAAGAACGACATACAGCATTAAAAAGAACTTTATACAGCATGCACACACACACAAATTCAAAATAACTATATACAGCAGCATGCACACACACACAAATTCAAAAGAACTATATACAGCATGCACACAGACACACAACATAACTATATACAAAAACTACAATCAGCATGGAAAATAACTATATACAACATGCACACAGACACAAAATAACTAGGCCTATATACAAAAACTAAAATCAGCATGGAAAATAACTATATACAGCATGCAAGCATGCACACAGACACACAAACGCACAATAACTATATACAAGAACTACATACAGCATTGAAAATAACTATATACTGCATGCGCACACACACAAATGCACAAGAACACACATTAACACACAAGAACTATATACATCATGCACACACACACACACAAACACATGATGTTTCCTAACAAAGTTCGGGAGGAGCATGTTCAGATAATTAAACACATGTGGAGCACATTCAGGTAATCAAGCCTAATTAGACACGAGTGGAGCACACTCCCAATCAATGAGGTAAGAGGTATATATTCAGCAAACTTAACTCAGTTCTTTGACAGTCTAACAGCATATTGGTTCGACCTTCTTGCTACCATGTCTCAACTCCAGCTCTTCCCATCCGATGAGGAATCTAACTTCTCACCGGATCCTCAGCCACAATCAGCTGACCCAAGGACAACTCCTTCTCTACCCAACATTTCAACTGATCCTCAGGCTTCTCCACGCGGCCGCCTGCCTGCCCGAACAGCTACACGCTCGCCTAGACGCAGAGGCCAGCCCTCGCCTCCACCAGCGAGACATCACAATCCCTCCCCTGCTTCTTCCTATCGCTCGGCCGTCCCAACAATTCCACCAATTGGAAAGTGGACAGTTTTAGGATTGAGGCAAGCGCTGATCAATTCAGATGTTCAGTTCTCGCGAAGGATGAACAAAGCGGAACTATACGCCTTGTATGTATCCTTGCAATCAACTAACCTCTCTCCGAAGTCCATGCCGGCCCCGAAAAGGACCAGCAGGCAAAGCAAAGCTCAGGATTCACCTCGCTCGACAACACCACCATCGCAGCGTACCAAATCCAGTTCTCTTTCAGCATCAAACCGCAGCAGAAGGCCTTCAGCAAGCTTGGGCCGCGCCCCAGTTCCTTCTGCTGTCAGACCTCGCCAGCAGGCTGCAGCTTTGGTTGAAACCAGGCCCGCCGACCTTCCCTCAGCATATCAGAACATGGCTCCTGCTGTTTCTAATAATCCTTTTTCTTTTCAGTGGCCTCCAGCACCTGTCCCAGATGCTAGCGCGAGGCTGCCTCCGCTAGCATTGGAGGCCCAATCATTTCAACCTACCTTTACAACAGCTACTAATCCCTCTTCTTTTCAGTGGCCAGCAGCTCCAGTAGCTCAAGCTAGCGTGAGGCTGCCTCCGCTTGCAGCACAAGCCCACTTTTCTCAGTTTCAACCTTCCTTTCCTTCTCATACTTTTAATCCTCTTCCCCAAGCCCCAGAGGCCAATTCAAGCGTGAGGCTGCCTCCGCCGACAATTGCAGCCCCGGCCTCGGCTCCTTTCAGCTCTCTTCTCCAGGCAAAATCTCTCCACTCTCTCTTCACAACAACTCAGATGCCTGTCCCATCGAACGCCGTTGCCGCGGAGCCGCCCCCAGTGTCCCACAACATCCGAGCACAGATCCTGTCAGGTGCAGACGTAGATCTTTCATCTCTTCTCTCTCTGTTACCTGTAACCGAATCAAACCGCCAAATAGATTGTGGGGATTTTTCTGTCACTTTAAAAAACCCAAATCCACATTCATCACGTTTACTTTCTTTTTCCGAGTTCACAATTGCTTTCAGCCGTTTCACTGAAGTAATCTGCTCTGCCTTCCCCCATAGGCGGCGCGAATTAAACGATTACTTATCAATTATAGCCGAACTTGCGCTGTCCTATGGAGGAGGGCACTTCTACACATACCACAAGCTCTTTTCCGCCAAGTGCTCTGTCCGGGTCGCCCAGTGGAACCAATGTCCTTACTGGGGCGCTCTTGATCCAGATCTACACAGCAGGGTTTTCCTAGGCTGCAGGAACATTTCATGTGCGGTATGTAGGTCAGTGGCACATTCAACCACAACATGTCCTCAAATCAACCCCTCCATCCCCCCCTGCCCAGACTCAGCCCCAGTTAAATCAACCAGCTATGTGCCAAGACTTACAACCAATGAAAATCCCGATGGAGGAAGACAGCAGACAGCCTCCTTTTCAAACAGCAGGCAGCTGTGCAGTAGTTTTAACCATGGGAGGTGCTACAGACAGCGTTGCCGGTTTCTCCATGTCTGCAATTTCTGCGGCGGTGCCCATGCCCGCCATGTTTGCCCAGTGTTCAAAGCAGTCAATAAAAAAACATCAAAAAATTACTTGTCGACTCCCGTGAATATTTCTCGCTTAGCAATCGAACTAGCTCATCACCCGGACACCCACTTCACACACTATCTTCTGTCCGGCCTCGAGCACGGTTTCAAACCTGGCGTGGAATGCCCACTCTCTCAAAATATTGTCTGTAATAATCTTCAATCTGCTATGGCTGAGCCCGATGTAGTAGACAACCTGATCAAAAAAGAAGTCGAGTCAGGCTTCATGATTGGTCCTTTCGACAATCCTCCTTTCGAAGTTTTTCGTATCAGCCCCATTGGAGTGGCCACAAGAAAATTTTCTGGTAAAAAACGCCTTATAATTGATTTATCAGCCCCACATGATTCCCCGTTCCCAAGCATTAACAGCTTGATCCCCCTTGACGAATTTTCTCTCAAATACCATGATGTAGATCAGGCGATCGACATGATAAAAATCGCGGGTCGGGGAGCTTGGCTGGCAAAAATCGACATCACTTCTGCCTTCAAAGTGATGCCCATCCATCCAGATTCATGGCACTTATTCGGTGTACGCTGGCAAGGAAAATTTTATTTTTCCGTACGCTTAACTTTCGGATGCAAAAGCAGCCCCAAAATTTTCGACACGCTATCAGAAGCTGTTTGCTGGATTTTGTCAAACAATTATGCGATTCCTCACCTCATTCACTTGCTAGATGATTTCCTAATCATTTCGCCTCCCGACGCCATCCCAGCCGCTCATATCCTCACCGTTCAAAATGTTTTTTCAGAGCTTGGGATCCCCATCGCCCAGGAGAAAACCATGGGTCCCACCACATCCATCGAATTCCTCGGCATTAACTTAGATTCAGTACAATTCCAGGCTTCCCTGCCAAAGGAAAAAATTGACAGGATCATACTCGTCTCATCTACCCTCATTGACCGCTCAAATTGTTCCAAACGCGAACTCTTATCCCTGCTCGGCCACTTAAACTTCGCAATGCGCATCATTCCACAAGGCCGCCCTTTCATTTCGCATCTCCTCTCACTCGCTTCTTCGGTTCACGCACTAGAAGACCTAATTTCCATATCTCAGATGTGCCGTGATGAACTCAGGTTATGGATAACTTTCCTAAAACAGTGGAATGGCCTATCCTTTTTCTATAACGATCTCGTTTTTTCTCCAGTCGATATCCAATTATTTACAGATGCGGCCCCCTCAATTGGCTTCGGGGGTTTCTACCAAGGACGCTGGTTTGCATCTCCGTGGCCCCCCCAACTCCAAGACACGACTCAGTCCTCAGCCCTATTTGAGCTTTACCCTCTTGTGGTAGCAGCCTTCCTGTGGGGGAAAGGATGGGCCACCAGTAGCGTTTTAGTGCATTGTGACAATGAAGCAACCGTTGAATGCATTAATAAAGGCCGTTCCCATTCACCCGCCCTGATGCCACTCTTAAGACGCCTAATCTGGATCTCAGCGTGTGATCAGTTTATCATAATTGCCAAACACATCCCCGGGTCTGAAAATCTAATCGCTGACTCTCTGTCTCGTTTTCTGTTTCAGAAATTCAGGATGCTGGCTCCAGAGGCAGACCAATTCCCAACTCCAGTACCTCACTATTCAGAACTAATATTCCCGTAACCCACCCTCTAAAACAACTCCTCGACACATCACTGGACACCATCCTCCAAGCAGTTTCTCCCAGGACCCTCCAATCTTATGTGACAGCTTGGAGGTGTTTTAAAGCATTCCACTTCTCATACACCTTGCCATTCCCTGATTTTTCTCTCCTTTCAATCACCTCATTCATCTCCTACCTTAACAGCATTAAGGGCCTCCAAGTTGGAACCATCAAAGGTTACCTGAGCGGCATCCAGTTTTTCCACAAATTGATGTACGGCGCTCCCTCCCCAGAGATAAATAATTCACAAACCTCCCTTCTGGTCAAAGGAATTCAACGATCTCATCCCACCCATCCCGACACCAGACAACCCATAACACTAGATATTCTCACAAAATGTATTCATGCCCTCCGCACAGTCTACCAGCCTCTCGTGACAGCCCGTACACTCGATGCTATGTTTATTCTAGCATTTTTCGGCTTTCTTAGATGCTCGGAACTCGCCATCACTTCCAAATTCGACCCAAGAGTCCACCCCACCATCTCAGACTTATCAGTACTGGATAGTGAAACCATCTCATACTTGATTAAGCAAAGCAAGACAGACCAATCCAAAAAAGGCCATTTCATCTACATCTTCAAACTCTCATCGCCAATCCAACCATACCAATCCATTCAGGCATATCTTCATTGGAGAAGCTCCCAGGCTAAATCCCACCTTGATCCCCTATTTATAGATGACTCCAACAAACCTGTGACACGCTTTTGGTTCCAGAAACATCTCAAATCCGTTCTTCAACAGTCAGGCATCCAAGCAAAACATTTCTCCAGTCACTCTTTCCGCATCGGAGCAGCAACTTCAGCTGCCCAAAAAGGCCTCTCCCAGCAGCAGATACAAGCTCTCGGAAGATGGTCCTCAGACGCTTTCCAAAGCTACATCAGGACCAACCGGTTCCACATTAAAAAAGCCCACCAAACCCTCATCGAATAAAACCCTCCGGGTCGTCCACCTGGGTGTTCTTCCTTCTTCCAGTGATCTAAATTCCCAACTGACAAAGCAAAAACTCTCCCAGCGGACATTGCATAATTCTGTCCAGCGAGCATTGGTCTCCCAGCGGACATTGCAAAGCATCTATGTTTTCTCCTTTTCCTGTCCAGCGAGCATTGGTCTCCCAGCGGACATTGCAAGCATCTATGTTTCCTCTTTTCTGTCCAGCGAGCATTGGTCTCCCAGCGGACATTGCATAATTCTGTCCAGCGAGCATTGGTCTCCCAGCGGACATTGCATAATTCTGTCCAGCGAGCATTGGTCTCCCAGCGGACATTGCATAATTCTGTCCAGCGAGCATTGGTCTCCCAGCGGACATTGCATAATTCTGTCCAGCGAGCATTGGTCTCCCAGCGGACATTGCATAATTCTGTCCAGCGAGCATTGGTCTCCCAGCGGACATTGCATAATTCTGTCCAGCGAGCATTGGTCTCCCAGCGGACATTGCAAGCATCTATGTTTCCTCTTTTCTGTCCAGCGAGCATTGGTCTCCCAGCGGACATTGCATAATTCTGTCCAGCGAGCATTGGTCTCCCAGCGGACATTGCATAATTCTGTCCAGCGAGCATTGGTCTCCCAGCGGACATTGCATAATTCTGTCCAGCGAGCATTGGTCTCCCAGCGGACATTGCATAATTCTGTCCAGCGAGCATTGGTCTCCCAGCGGACATTGCAAGCATCTATGTTTCCTCTTTTTCTGTCCAGCGAGCATTGGTCTCCCAGCGGACTTTGCATGCATCTATGTTTTCTCTTTTTCTGTCCAGCGAGCATTGGTCTCCCAGCGGACTTTGCATGCATCTATGTTTTCTCTTTCCCATCCAACAGGTATCGATTTCCCAGCGGACAGCAGGAAATCTCCAGTCCGGGCTTCCAAAAAACGCGCCACTCCACCGTCAGCCGGTAGGGCCCATCAGCCCGACGCTGTGAGCTGCTCCCGTCGGAAGCTACATGGGCCCTCCTGGTTGGGCATTCCCAAATCTTGTCAACCAGTAGGGCCCGTCCGCCCAGCGCAGTGAGCTGCTCCCGCCAGAGGCAACACGGGCCCTCCTGGTCAGGCGGCATAAATCACGCTGTTCATCGGCCGGTAGAGCTCGCCTGTCTGACGCTGTGAGCTGCTCCCGTCGAGAAACGGTGCGAGCCCTCCCAACTGTTGTTCCAAATTACGACTGCTCCCCGTTCGTGAGCCAGCAGGCCCTCCTGGTCAAGCAACCAGGCTTATTCTCAAAACGCCAGCCCGCCAAATTCTCTGCGTTTTGGGGGGTCTTTAGTCTGGCGGCTGTCCTTTGCTCTTTGCTTTTGGGGGAGCACTCTGGGTTCGGGCAAAAATTTCCGAGCTCGGAGCCCTCCCCCTGGACAGCACGCCAAATACGCATAATCTTTACTCTGTTTAATTGATGTAAATGTGAACTCGTGAAATGATGTTTCCTAACAAAGTTCGGGAGGAGCATGTTCAGATAATTAAACACATGTGGAGCACATTCAGGTAATCAAGCCTAATTAGACACGAGTGGAGCACACTCCCAATCAATGAGGTAAGAGGTATATATTCAGCAAACTTAACTCAGTTCTTTGACAGTCTAACAGCATCCCTCCACCACCCCATCTCCTCACTTCTTCTCCTAAATACTCTTACAACAAGGGGGAGCACTCTGGGTTCGGGCAAAAATTTCCGAGCTCGGAGCCCTCCCCCTGGACAGCACGCCAAATACGCATAATCTTTACTCTGTTTAATTGATGTAAATGTGAACTCGTGAAATGCTGTAAGAGAACGACAGCATACATAGCTTCCCTTTTCCAAAGAAACACTGAACAAATAGTAGGTATAATGACCTACTATTAGGGTAATATGTTTTACCAATCAATAAAATGCATTTATCTTTCATGCATATGTCAGGTGTAACATGACACTCAAACTGTTTTTCAATCCTGGTCTGATTCAGAGTTGTCATCATCAGATAAGTACTGTTCATCTGTTACGCTATCATCATCTGATTCATCTCCCTCATCCCTGCCACTCACAGATTCAATGATATCTGCCAATTGCTGTGGGAGAACACATCCCTCATACCACAGAGGCTCAATCTTTTGGTCAACCAGTGTCCAACCGTGTCCATTGCAAGCATCAGGGATGTCAGGGTTGGCAATATGGGCCACCTTCCATATTCCAACCTGGTAGTTAACCCTCCTGATGTGTTGCTCTAAACTCCTCCCACATGGGGGAAGTGTAGCCAGGTCCACATTTCTTGAGTGGGCTAGATGCTTGTCATCTTTGGAGCACAGCTCACTCATTCGCAAGAAACGCAACTCATCAACACTTCGTGCTCGTGGTCTACTAAACAGAGCACAGGTGAACTCATTGAGGAGATCAAAGAGATCCCTCGGTACATCCCATGTGTCTCCCAGCCTGGCAAGAGTTTCTCCAAACTTTGGCATCCTAGAGAGGGTTTTCAATGGCCTGACTTTGCCTAACCCCTTGAATGCACTAGTGGTATCACAACCACTGAAGGCGTGAAGTGCCATTAGTGCTGTCAAATGCTGCTGAGAGTAACTACGAGACATTTCACTCACATCAATGAGCCTTTTCTTGTTTCCTGTGCCAGTGTGAAACATAATATTTAAGTCTGACATTGCCAGAGCATAGTGTAACAAGATGAAAAATATGTCAGTATCAGGACTCTTAACGACAACATTGCTGTAGTTGTTGTCTCTGGCAAAGTCACAGTAGAGAATGACTCTAGAATCTGTCTCTTCTTGGGTAGACTTAAGGCTCAGGACTTCTGTTCTGCATGTTGAGCTGCCATCTTCAGACGTTAGCAGATATGCTGTTCCTTCACAGGTTATGATCACTTGTCTCCCATGTAGCTTCCTGGCATATGAGTCTTCACTCCAAAGGCGGGTGAGTAGTGCAATAAATTGTTGCTTGTTTTCATCATTGGCGAGGAACTGTTTCCAATCTGCTGGCCTTTTGGTATTTTCACCTTTTATGATAAGCTTTTGACCACAACCCCTCCTCTGTCTTTCCATTGTTTTCACAGAATTGGGGAAGTAACTATCTGTGCTGAACACAACATTGCCTGTCTTTGGCATCATGTCAAACACCTTACTGCATATCTGTTTGAAGCTGCCTGGTACCTCCTTCAAGAAGTAAAAGTAGGCATTTCCATCAATAATTACAAGAGTTTGATCTGTGGATGGTAGGGCAGCATCATTAATGTCTTTTACCAGGTAAGCAAATGACTTTGACTTATCTGTTTTGGACAAGAAACCATCAGCAGTGCCTATACTGTACGGCACAGGAGTCAAGGGGTACGTGAGTAGTTCCCTCATGTCCAATTGTAGACCTTGCTGTTGGGACTTCATGAACAACTGGAAAGCAATGTTCCCTTGCTGCTGATACTGTATTACTTTGTGTGTTGTTGTTGTAACTTTGCTCTTTTTGTTCATGTCCGTGAAGGTTTTGAGGCCAAGGCGCTTGATAGGCTCAAAGAAGTCACAACCTTTTTCCAGGCGTGTCGCAATAAAAACATCCTTGGCAACCTTGCCTGCTTGTTCAGCTCTCAAAACATCTCTTTGGACCTCAGCAGATACTGCAGCACCAGAAGAAAGAATAAACAAGTTGTCAGTGCTTCCCAACTCAAAAGGGTTAAGGAAGCTCTCCACTGCCTCAATTGTTTTTCTCACCAACTTTTCACTCTTCAACATCTCAGCTGGACGAAGCTCATGATGCTTGGTTTCTGCAGCTGTTCCAGACAGCATGTCAGCCATACTGAGGGTTGCATTAACATACTGAGATCTAGCATGGGTTGTTCGTACCCAACGTTGGTAGGCATAATAATTTGTCAGAATTCCTGACACACCAAAAGCATTTCCACCAGCACCCCCATGAGATTTAGCATGTCGCATGAAGGTCTCTTCCATAGTTTTATCTACGGCGCAACGGTTACCTGGAATGAAGGAACGTGCAACGCTAATAGCCCCTCTTTTCAACAACTCTGTGGCTCCAGGATGTGACACTTCAATGTTCGCAATGAAGATGGAGAAGTAAGAGAGATATCTGGCATAATTCTGGCCTCCAAAGCTGAAAAACAGGTCTGCCATAAGGTGCAAACACTGAGCATAAAGGAGAAAATCATTATGTTTCACTGCATGGATGAGAGACAGTACCAACCAGATGTGGTCCATGTAAGATGTCCACAGCTGTGCTGTCTTCCCTAGATGTCCAGCTTTTACACTCTCTCGAAACTGTTGATATCCTTCGATGTACTTCTGCAGTGGAACATCATTCCTTGTTGCATCTAAGGCTTCTTTAGAAGGAGCTTTCAGCAGTTCATCTAGTATCCCCTTTGATCCCTCTGGTAATTGAGAGAATACTTCTTTCTCTCCAATACTTGTGAGGTATTGTGATAGGAGAAGTCTTTCAAGACATTCCAATACTGTCTTATGACAGTGTAGTGATCTGTCATAATGTTTACCAGTAAGGACACCTTGAAGAGAACCTGATGCAATCAGCCCAGCTTCCAACAAGATATCAGAGAGACCCGATCCATCCATTTTCTTGCCCACCATCTTCAGATATGCGCAAGCCAGATGAAATGTACCAATCAATATTATGTGTTTGTCATACCTAGATTGATCATTCCAAATCAGGGGATATGCTTTCATGCATACCCCCAAGTCGAATGTTGTAACAACATACTGTTGTTGGATTTCTGCTGTGGCCTCCTCAGCATATCGAAGGCATTCTTTTACTGTCTTGTAGTCTGTAATTGGGCTTGGAATAACAGGGTAATTATCAATTGTTGTCAGACTTTCAGGGGTTCATCCTGACATTGTGATGAAACCTGTCCATCCTGGAAATTGTTGATCTGATTTGCTGCATGCTGTACGGATCAAGACCCACAGAAAGTGTTTCATGGTAGCATCTTGAAGAGCCCTCTCACCATCAGTAATTACTCTTTGGTGTATGGTTATTTGAGGACTTTTCCATTGTGTAATATAGCAGTCAGGAAGAGCTTCA